CGCGCACACACACACACACACACACACACACACACACACACACACACACACACACACACACACACACACGCACGCACGCACGCACGGACAAACAAACAAAAACACTCAAACCACCACTACCTTTCCCGCTGTTGGGAAAAGTGGGAATATAAAGTATACCACATTCTTCGGGGGCTGGAGCCCAGAGAGTGCAAAATCGTTGCCCGTACCCGTCCATACCCAACTGTAACCGGCTGGTTGTGGGCAGGGACGTGTCCCCTTCCGGAGGGGCGAATTGGGTATGGGCATTGGGCAGGAAAAAAAAATATTAGTCTTTGTGAGGGCGGCCACAGTTGCCAAGATGGAGATCACGGACAGGCAGGGGCAGGCAGGGGCAGGCAGGGGCAGGTAGGGGCGGGGAAAAGAAAAATAATGCAGGTATGGGTGGCCAAAAAAAAGAAAAGCAAGGGCATGGGTCGTCTAGGGTGGTAAAAAAAAATTCAGATGGGTATGGGCGGGTAGCAGTTTCTCTCGGGTAACTGTAGCAGCAGGTAGTGCATTGAAGACCCCCATCCCCTACCCTTGCCACCCCAAGTCCCCGACTACCCAGTGTTTGAAAATATGCAGACCGGGCCGCGTTAATTTTTTGTCAGACCGTGCCAAGGCCTGGAAAAGTTTTGGGGGGGATTCCTTTCCAACCTCGAATTTGCCCTCGTTCGAATTTGAGAGGCCTCTACCTGTCCATCCACCTCGGACCGCATTCCTCCCGCCCGTTGTTGTCGTCACCGCCCATTGTTGGTCCGCAATGCTCCGCATTCCTCCCGCCCGTTGTTGGTCATCCTCCATGGCCTTCGTCATCGCAGGAGGGGTCACGCAGCGCTCGGCAGGAGGCTGAAGGGTGGGTGATCAACAGGAGGTGTTTTCTGCAGCACTAGGCAGCGATCGGGAGAGATTGGCATTTCATTTGCTGATAGGCATTACATGTGGCAAAAAGCAAATCGAAGATGACATTTGGAAAGGTGGGTGAACACTGAATAGGCAGCAATGACCGGACGGCGTTTTTTGTGTCGTGACTCTGTGAGTAGGCATCAATGAGCAGACAAGCATTCTGTGTGGCAAAGGGCAAAAAATTGAGCAAACGGCATTTCTTGAGGAAACAGGCAATCGGAAGATGACAGCAAATGTGGGGGGAAAATGTTTACCTTTCAGCCCTTATGTATTCTTCGTAGTCTATGTCCGAAGTGGGAGCGTCCCAGCATATAGCCAGATTTTATAACTGCCCTAAAGTTGACGGTCAAAGAGTTACGGCCGCAGGCTACCGGGGCTTCCAAAGGAAGCTTATGTCACGTTCTCCTTTTCACCTTCCAGCACCGGGCCGATGACGGATTGTATAAATTGGGTTACTCACTTGGCAGCAGAGTCCTAAGTTTTAAATAAGGGCTAACTTCAGTAGAGTCACAAAAACAGTTTGAAATTACACTTCAAGCATTCCCCCGAACATAACACAACCCCACATAACCCTACCTGACCGGAAAAGGTAGCTTGTATACATTGCCCGAAGCGTAATTTGAAACTGCTTTTTGCCCGAAGCGTATTTTCAAACTCTTTTTGTGACCGCCGCATAGTTTCCCGGTTTAAATAAACAGTTGCTACGCCCTGTTATGTGGCGCTTCTCTCTGTTTTTGCATAGAAAAGCACTCCTTTCTCGGAAGTTACGGTGTCATTTTCACGAGTGTTCCTCCAACATGGTGATCGCAAGCAACTTACCATTATGATACTCTACTTGTTCACCTGTGTCAATGTGGCGGCTGAAGTACAGCGAAAAAAACAGGTAGGAGAACGGTGACGATTGGCTGAGTGAGACGAAGGGGAAGGAATCCGAAGGATGGAGGAAAGTTAAGGTAGTTGGAAGTTTGGGAAACGAGGGAGAAACCGGAATGTGATCTACAGACGTGGAGACAGTGGAGGTGGCAAAGTGGGACGAGGGATAACGGTAGCAGGGTTGGATACGTGGCGAGAAATTATATCACAGCCAAGTGCTGTCAAAGGGTTTGTCCGTCGCATTCCTGATCTTCTTCCTCTCTTATTCATGCTTTCGCACGTTTCAGAAAAAAAGACTGGAAAAGGTTGTAGCTTTTCAGAAGGGGGGAAGCGGGTGAAAGCGGTCTGTCTTTGTGAGTGTCTGTGTGCTTCGTCGTTTCTCTCACTACTAAAGGAAACTGCAAAGGACCTACCTTCAGTCCAATGGAGACGGTTTCCATTAGCGCACACCCGTTGAGAGGTTCCACTTACCTAGATTCTCTGTCCCGAGTCACCATAGATTGCGTACAAGTATCGATGGCCAGAAAGTGGCAGAAACATAATTTGGGTGTAAGGGAACCTTGCCCCTGCAGGTGCAACAGCTATACCAGAGACATAACCTAACAAAACCACCTGCCTTATTCAATCAGATACAGCATGAGGTCACCACAGCTATAGCTGCAGCAGATTTCAGGCCAGACAAAGCCAAGACGACCCCAATGGACCCACTTAGGGTTCTGTGGAGCAAGCTACCAGTCTAACGGAGATATGCATGTCTGCATTGACCGGGTCGACACTTCCCCACGCATGCATCAACAGCGGCGATAGAAGGCCCATCATCGGAACAAACTAGCACAAACCTGTTGGCAACAAACTTGTAAGCATCAAGGTACTCCTAAGCTAATGTGCATCTGGGACAGATCATGAGTTCAAATCCTAATGGATGCAACGATCGGGGGCTTACGCCCGTCGTTAAGGGGGGGAGTAGAAAAGGAAAAACAACCTTGTAACCATCAGCTCCTCCTAAACTACTGTGCATCTGGGACAGATCATGAGTTCAAATCCTACTGGATGCAACGATCGGGGGCTTAGGCCCGTTAAACCACCAGTAAGTACACCCGGGCCTGCAGGTGCCTTACTTCACGCCAAGCTTTTCCAAACCGCCAGCGGCGCACTTTTGTTTTCCGTTTTTGGCTGGCGCCACCAGCCATTGCGGTTCGGTAGGCCGAGCCTGCGAAATTTTCGTAGGTGACGAGTTTCTTTTTCAGCAAGGCTGGGGCCGTGTACTGGCGGTTTAAGGGGGGGAGCTAGAAAAGGAAAAACAACCTTGTAACCATCAGCTTCTCCTAAACTAATGTGCATCTGGGGCAGATCACGAGTTCAAATCCCACTGGGTGCAACAATTAGGGGCTTAGCCCCGTCAAAGGGGGGAGGAGAAAAGTAAAACCAAAGTGCAGCTGTGGTAGGAGTTACGGAACAGAACCATACCATCTGTATACCAAAGAGTATCAAAGGTGACTACTGTAGGAACAACGAGAACAAAAAAAAAAAAAAAAAAAAAAAAAAAGGTGACTACTGTAGGACCACATCTTTGCATGGTCAGCCTCGAAAGACACTTCAAAGTCAAAGAGAAAGAAAAAAACAAAGGAGGATTATTGTCTGTGATGCAATCACAGTTGCAGAACCATACTTCCACTCCCACTACCACTCCCACTCCCACTCTCACTCTCACTCTCGCTCCCACTCTCACTCCCACTCTCACTCCCACTCTCACTTCCACCCCCACTTCCACTGGGAAGGTCAGTTGCTGCATTCTCCTCCCCCAGCGGCACTTGCTGCTGGCCCTCAGCGTTTGCAGCAGCCATGGCCTGTCTGTAGGCTGTCACAGCAGCTTCACCTTTCTGGAGGATTTCAGTTGGAACCGTTCCCAATAGCGTATTGAGTGCACTAACTGCAGATGCCACTCTCTCCTGTAAGGGTGCAATCGGGACGGCAGTTTGGCTGCGAGATGCGACAAGCAACTCAAAATCAAGCTTCTCCAGTGCCGAGAGGCAGTCTGCCACTGCTTTCTCTGCCACTGACCTCTGTCCAGCCTCTGCAGCATAACTTGCCACCGCCCTTGCATCAATCCTTAGAGAAGCAGTAACCCCCGTTCGCAAGAGCGAGCGTGCCTCGCTAAAACCTGGGGCATCAACGGTCAACAAGCCATCCACTGACTCGATTTGATCCCTGCTTAGCAGAATGGATGGGACAAATGTTTCCAGCGGGTCGAGCTTCTTTGTCTTTATGTACTTCGAAAGTCCTTTCTTAAGGAATCCGTCATCGGCCCATGCACGTTGGTATCCCAACGCGTCGACTCCATGCATGCCTGCCATGATTGACAGAAGAACCACAGTCAATGTACTTCTCCTTGAAACCAAGAGAGCATCATTATCTTCACACCAGCGTTCATCTTCGGAGGAGGACGTATCTGTAGGACAACTAGAACCGTACAACGATGGTCTGGGTAATCTTTGCTCCCCTTTCAATGTACGTCCCTTTGAAACAAGGAGAGCATCATCACCTTCACATCTGCATTTATCTTCAGAGGAGGAAATATCAGCAGGAATGCTAGCACGGTTCAGCGATGGTCTGAAGAACCTTTGCTTCACTTTCATCCCCTCAGCCGCTTTCTCCAGACATCGGAGCCGGCAATCCAAAGCTCTGAGACAGGTTCTACCACTGCGGTCTTCGCTGCAATAGTCCGAGGAGAAGAAGCAGCAGCCATAACCATAACTGTTTCTTGCTATTGGTGGCATTGCAGGAGCTGTGTTGCAGTGAGCGAGGTCATGGCGAAGGTCCTTGCGTGGATCCTTGCGACTTCCACGCGGTTCCCACGTTGAAGCCAGCCTTGATCGGGATGCCAAGTCAGCTGCATAACTGCACGAGAGGGTTGTCGAGAAAGAGGCAGACCATGTGGGTCGACACGACGCATCTTGTCCTGAGGGTAGGCCCAGCGGAAGAGTCACAATTTGCTGCTGCACTGCTGCCATTGTGGGCATTATGGCATTTATCCTGATCCCTTGCACCCTTCCTTGGTTGGGTTCGAACTCTAATGCGGATGAGATAACCTCTGCAAGCGATGTCCCAATTCACCCTTTCGTGGTTGGGTTCAAACCTTCGACCCGTTGCACACTCACTGGTGTGTCAGGCAAGCTGCTGTCCCTAGCGTTCTCAGAAACCTGCAGGCAACAGGTTACCTATTACTGCACGAACTTGGGTTATAAGAAGTGCGACCTCCTTAAGTATGTCCTCCCTCTCCTAGATGTCCTGAGACTTTTTGACACCAGTGCTACCCCGTTGCAGAAACATCAATCATTCCCCCCCTCCTCTCAGACCCCCCCTCTCACCCCACTACAAGAGGAGAACTGATGAATGATAGGTTCTTTATTATTATTATATTACTGAAACCCTCGGAACAAAGAGCCGAATCTCAACAGATTGGTGACGACAAGCCCAGTCTGCTGCGGTATATGCTTAAATGAAACATACAATCTAAATCTAATATATGTTTGAGCTCCTGATACGCATACCTTTGGTCTATCCAAAGCAATCAAGCCTCACATTTACTGATTATCAGCTGCAGATGTAACTGATGTGCTGCCTTCTGTCAAGTTCCCAACTTCTGCAGCCGCCAGTGCCAGTGCACTGAAAGCAGCATTTTGCAAAAGATGCCCAAATGGAACTCGCCGTTAGATTGTCACGATCCAAAGGGTGAGGGCTACTACACTGTCGACATAATAGCAGAACAAATTGCTCTTGCTGCTGCAAAGGGCGGTCTCGATATTGAAAGGGGAGTAGCACTGAGGAAGAATCTATTTTTAGAATAGGAATCACTCCATGCTCTCTTCTGTGTGAAGTCTCAGGCTTCACTCCGGAAAAAAACTTCCGCTTCCCCTTGCCAAGTCGGATGAGCTTTGGTCACCTCTCCCTAGCGCCGTCACACTCACATTGCCCTGCTTCTAGCACCCTCGCTACACACACACACACACACACAATAGGAATAAAGTTGCTTCGATTTTGGATGTACTCATCTGGATGGAACAGGGGCTGTTGTGGCAGATAACATACAACACACATGCATGTGAAGAGGCACGCATGCAGGCACAGACATATGCAGGGGCCTTTTTGCTTCTTGTACAGCAGGATGAGAGTGGGCCTCTTATGGACGGATGACAAGGAGGCAGTGCAGTGTTTTATGCCCCATGTTTTTCGATAGAATTCTTCTGTGTAGTTTAGGATCATGTGATTGCACACACATACAGACTTCGAAGAGTCTGAACCAATCCTCTTCTTAGGACCCTTCAGTGCACTGGGACGACTTTCATACAGTCAGGAAGCCAGCGTGAACAAGCGCCTTTCATCAACACTAGACCTGAACACATAGAAAAGCAAGAGAATGAGAAAGGTAAGATCATAAGTACTTGAGCCACATACCCTCCTCTTTCCCTGTGTGGATGTTATCTTGGCGCACTGATGCATGAAAAAACAACAGTCTGGGACACCCACACAGTACCTCCCTCTCTCTCTCTCTCTCTCTCTCTCTCTCTCTCTCTCTCTCTCTCTCTCTCTCTCTCTCTCTCTCTGTGACACACACACACAAACAAACAAAGTGTCTCCACCAGGATGGCTGCAAATAATTGCCTCCTCAGTCATCCCCTTATAAACACAAACAGAAAAACAAACAAACAAAGTCTCTCCATCAGGATGGTGGCAAATAATTGCCTTCCCCAGTGTCCTTGTCTCTTACTCCAACTTGTACGTGAAAGGCCTTAGTGGCCAAGATGCCATTTGGTCCTTTTGGATCGTCTTTGCTCAAGATATCCTCTTTACGTCGAGTAGCTAGAAATGAAACCAACCAAGATGGCAGCTTGTAAATCACAATGAACCTTTTTTTTTAAACGATGTTCAAGAAATAGTGAAAGGATTTCACGCTGTGCCACAATCCCAAGTCCCAGTACCGAGTCCCAGGTCCCAGGTCCTAGTCCTGAGTCCTAGGTCTCAGTCTTGAGTCCCAGGTCCCATTCCTAAGTCCCAGGTTCTAATCCCGGGTCCCATTCCGTGTTCCATTAGTGGTTCCAGGCACTTGTACAATATGCACGAATACTCTAGAAGCGTAGCTTTCATTTGTTTGTGCCATGATTGCAGAGGGATAGGTGAGCTAGTTAAGTAGATCGTTGTAGAAAGTCCTTCGGAGATAACAGTTATGGGTTGAAAAGTCTGTCTTTAGGAGGCACCACAACTTCATCCAGGATTTCCAGGGATGTTGGGCTAGGTGTCAGTTGATCCACGAAGCAGCCAAACCCGAGAAGAATCCACGAGTTTCCAGAAGCAGGGAACAAAGGCAAGAGGGCCGACCCATAACCAACAGAAGATGTCTGGAAGGCGGATCAGCAAGTATAAAACCCCAGCAGCATTAGCAGGAAGGATCAACTATTCATGTGCGAATTGCGAGTACTGTGGGTTACTTGTGCGACAGTGCGACTTGGATGAGAGGGGGCACCAGGAGAGGAGCAAGTGCCCAGCGAGGATGGAGACATCTGGTTACCACAGATAGGGAGGAGGAAGGAGACGGCCATAGCCGCGGAGGTTCGGGGAATACACCGCAGTTGTATTCAGGACAGATCCTAGAGGGAGAGAGAGAGGGAGAGCTTGAGCGCAGTGAGGTCAAGAGGACGAAGACTTGAGCGAGAGAGAGAGAAGAGATGGAGAGAGAGAGAGGGAAGCCAGACATCAAGGGAGGAGGAGTTGAGTACATACCTGAGTCAGGATTGCAGTGTTGAGTTGTGGCAACTACCGCTGGTTACTGGAACTCTCCAGTTGTAAACTTCTGATATTTTGAGTGGGAACATATATGGCGCTGATTCATGTGTCATCTCTCTGATGCGGTGTGAACTTCTTGTGAATGCTTGAATGTTCGAGTTGGTTTGGAATTGCGAGGTTCATTGCACTGGTATCGGAGTTGGAGCCCGTTGCAGTGTGGTGGTAGAAGAAGCCAGCAAGGCATAAGGCCGCCGGGTGATTGCAGTATCGGGGTTTGACCGGTGGAGGCGGCCGAAGAAGAAGGGGTTGTTGGAGGGTTGGAGAAGCGGAAGACGTACCTGGAAGATTGCAAAGACGAGCGAGGAGCGACCTGTTGAAGGGCCGAGTGAAGTGCTTCTTGCCCTAAGCCCTGTTTGCAATTGTTGATGTTTTTGGAACTCTCCACGTACTTTCTTGGTGATGGCTGCTGCAAGTCAATTGTATTGATGTCATCTCGTTTTCGGAGTCAGCAGTCTTGTGAATGCTTTAGGTCTAGGGTAGGAGCTCGGCAGCTGGAGGCACTAGCTGCACAGTAGGGAGCATGGGCATGAGCGGCAGGTACTCGTAAAACAACCCGGCTAGCGCAATGACCAGTACCGACCGGCGTGCAACCGAACCAGTACAGCCACAAATGATTGCTTGTCTCCCAGCCCAGTTACACCTTGAACATTTCTCTTCAATCTTCATCCCTTTGGAGGTCAGCCAGGTAGCAGAAGCAGTTATTAACATTGATTGGCTCCACATAATGCTGGCTTGTTTCTGAGAGGGGATGTTCTTTAGGGCCTTCCAAAATTTTGGCAGATCCATGTTTCCTAGTAGGAAGCCCTATTCTTTCCGCATCCTCTCCCCTGCCACTACCAGCGCCTGAGTTGTCCTCAAAGTCTGCGGTATCTGTACCCCCGTCTTCGTTTCGTAGAATGGGGCTGGGGAGTACACCCCTGCTGTTTCCACATCCATCCACCTACTGAGTAATGGTTCTACCTGAAGTCGCTCGAGAGCCCTGGTAATTAGTATCGGTTTTGAAGACTCGGTGCCCCCCTGCCATACCCGCACTTCCATCAATTCCTTTGTGGTTTGTATCACCTTCTCTCCATCGTGCTTCAGACTCGTGTGGTTGTCAACCTCGCATTGTTTTATCCAAAGTTCCACCTTAACTCCTTGGTCAAGTTCCGGACCTAGAATCTTCAATACGCCTTGTGCATTGTCTGGGTCTTCCCACCAGGTGTCTGGACGTTTTTCCCCGGAGCTGCGCAGGAGGCTTAGCCATAAGTCGGGAACTGTCTGCTGTACTTTGGTTAATATTTTCTATTAGGTTTTGCAAATGTGGCAGTTTTCTTCGCATAACCTGCGGGTTCCGCTACTCTTTTCTCTGCGTATCCCAGATATCTTTGAGTTGGATCACCCCTCGCTCAACCCAAGACCTCCCAAAGGATCCCTTACTCCCATCTGCTAGGAAAACTGGATCATCCTCATGTTTTAAGAGCTCGTTTTCAAACAGGATTTGATTCAGTACTTTCTGCTTGGTAGAAGGGGGGGTTCTTTATTGGAGGTTGGACTTTGTTCCAAGCATATAGTATGTTCTTCCACACTTTTGATTTTGGTCTTCTCCTCGCAAATGAGAGAATGAACATACAGGTCCACACATGTGCCGGGTTGGGTAGACTCCATTCTTTTCCCAGAATGGTTTCTGCCAACCCTACCCACAGCTTGCTCATGACAACTTTGAAAGGAAGAAAATTGGTGGGTATATGGCCCCCGACACATTTAAATTCGCATTCATGCCTTGGACAGAGTGTGCACGTATTGAACAGGCTGCAAGCACCCATGGCCATCCGTTTTTTTCTTTTTACTCCTCGTTTGTCTTCTCCTCATCAGGGGACAGATATATATATTTTCTCTCACCTCACATATTTTAACTGGCGTTCTGCTATGTCATGGGACATATCTTTTTCATTTCACGACCTACCACGACTCCTAAGGCTATACGGGGGACCCCTGCAATCATAGCTTTCTAACTCTCTTCGGTGAAGTGAGGTTACCTCTCTCGATGGAGGGAGCGCCCTAGCATTTAGTGTGCAGGGTTGGGGCCGCCGGTGGGGGCCCGGCTAACACAAGGTCCGAACATTTGCCAGTAACTGTGCCTCCCTTTTCATCTTCCCCCACCCCCATCGAGTAACAGGAGTGTCTAAAGCCAACACTCTCCCAATGCAACCCACTCACACGCGCACTCACACCCATGTTGGCTGAAGATCTTACCAATACCGACTGGGAGGATCCAGCTGACTATCTCAGTTGGTTGGCACTAAGCGTGCCACTGGCACCTATCCTTTCTTTTCTTTCCTGGAAAGAAGAACAAAAAAGACACATTGCGACCATCTGCCTCGCAGGGACAGGAACGCTTGCTAGGGACAGGGACCACCAGTTTGAGAACTCCAATCTATTTGTGGAAGGCATTACATGCTGGGCACAGGGCCCAGTGTCCTGTAGTAAATGCTCAGTAAATGATAGTGCGCAGACAGCACCGGTTGCCCTAGCCTGGTAAGCTTAGGGGATCGACTGCCTCCCTCCCTGGAAAAAGGAAACGGACAAGTGCTGAAGATACCATGCACTTGTCCCTTTTCCTTCTCCAGGAATGGAGGCAGTCTATCCCTACAGTCTTCCCCCGAACAAAATGCATGTGCATTTTATATGAACAAAATGCACCGGCACGTGCGTTATGCTACGAATTTTGGGCACCAACTTCGGGAACCAGGCCCCCCAAAAAAATGAAGTATGTGCACTTACCTTTCAACAGACAATGGGTCGGGTCCGCATTAGGGGAAAACACACACACACACACACACACACACACACACACACACACAGGGCCTGATAGAGGGGGCCCCTTCCACTACGCACCAAATGTGCAAAATGTGAATGAATCTTACCATTGAAAATGGAATTATACATAGCCACATTTTTTATCTATTGTGCATGTGGAGAGTAGTGGAGCGAGGCCCTGACTGTACGTAGCATTCGAACAGTCGGCCCCAATACGAGCTGTGCACAAGATTCGAACAGATTCATCCGACATAGATGCAGTCTTGGAGCGTCCTCATCACCCCCCAAGATCTGCCACACACACACACACACTGAGACAGAGAGAGAGAACACCCGTATGTTCCATTTGAATAGAACACACACACACACACACACACACACACACACAGAGCTGAGACAGAGAGAGAGAACACCCGTATGTTCTATTTGAATAGAACACCCGCATGTTCGAACATACGGGCCTACTATTAGAACATACGTGTGTACTATTCGAATAGAACATACGTGCGTACTATTCGAATAGAACATACGTGCGTACTATTTGAACATGCGTTCTATTTGAATTTCAGGGTGTGACTTCGAGAATCCACTTTTCCAGGGAAAGTTGAATAGTACATACGTGCGTTTTGTTCGGGGGAAGACAGGCCTACCGAGCTAGGGCCGAGTGCATGATATCTTCAGTACTCAGCCACCAGCTCCGCAGTATCCCTCGCTAGCGTGCACCTCGGTACCTCGGTACAAAAACTGGCGCACATACCCAGAGCTAGCCCTGCTTCCCAATATCTACTCTCTGCCTTTTTTTTTTCCGAACGAGGACCACTCTAGCAATCTTTGGGGGGGGGGGGGGGGGGAGGGAGGCGAAGGGCCCGAGAAGGTCAGAAGGTGGGTGAATTGGGAAGGAACAAGGCCAACTAGTGCAGCAGGAGCTGCAGGAGCAGCAGGAGCGGTGCGGACAATGCCCTGGCAGAATCCCAATTTTCCATCGTCTGCCATGTTGTCCCTCGACATCCAGAGCAGGACCGCTCTTTTTTTTTTTCTGACGTTTCTGGGACAAGAGAATCATATGTTCTATCTATGGTCTATCTGATCATTCTGATACGATGTTCCCCCGAATAGAACTAAGGTCATATTCCTGCATCTAGACTGAAAGTTGCCCCCAACACAGGCATAATGATTCCTGCATCTAGACTGAAACTTGCCAAAATACAGGCATAATGACTGAACGTTCTGTTCGGGGAAGGACGGTAGGGGGTTTCTCTGAGGACCAAGACACACACACACACACACACACACACACGCGTGGCACAAGACGACGACGCAAGTCCATGACGAGGA